GAGCATCCCAGACCCCGGAGGCACATGTCAGCCTGGGTAGGAATCATCTCACCTCAGCTTGTTAGGAATTGCTTGGAATTCATTGTAGGCTGCTGTCTGAGTGCCAAGAGAGTATAGAGGATGACTCAGAGGAAATCTGCAACTTTCTAAGGATTAAAGCCAAAAACGCAGCATGGATTTGCCTCTGAAAAGAAGTGACATTGCTGACATCCTAAATAACCCATGTGCTCTGGGACAGTACTCCAGCCCACACACAGAATTTAATATTACACAAAGTTGTTTGGAAACTGTGTGGTGAAGGGGATGTGCCACTGAAATTGTGACATACACACGGCCAAACTAGATTTTAACCAGAAAGAAAAGTTTAACAGTACATTTGTAGTGCAGGGTCCTAAGAATCCAGCCAAGGAATGAGAGGGGGCAAGTTTAGGCAGCTGAAAAGACCAGATTTTGGGATTAGGGTTACTTTAAAATGGAAGGGAAGCTGAGATGGAGCCCAAGTGCTCTGGGCACAGGTGTGGTTGCTGAGGCTCTCTCCCGTTGCTCATTTCCCGGGCAGAGTCAAGAGCAGCTGAGGAGCAGAGCCCTGAGCCCGTGGCAGGCTCTGAGGCAGCTGCCTGTGTGAGAGCCCTGGAGAACACGAGGCAGCACAGAGAGCAGGGGCTGTGGCAGGAGCTGGGACAGAGCCCGCGCCGGACACTGCTCGGGCTCAGCCCGCGGGCTGCGCTCCCCTTTCCCAAGGGACCATTCCAGGGAACCTCCTGCAGATCCCGGCCCAGGGACAGCAGCTGGAGCCTGGCAGCTGAGGGCAGTGCACCGCAGGCAAGTTCTCCAGGCTGCCAGAGGAAACCAGGTCAGACTCTTCTCTTCCACCTTCACCAGGGCCCCCTCATTGGGTAGAACCTGGTTATTGATTTTGGGGACAGAACTGACATCTGTAGGGAATTCAAACCTATAAATAGTTTGGGAAAAGGGAGGGAATATTGAAACGAGTGTCCTGCAGAAGGAATCCAGCAGCTCAGTGATATCAACTGGCACCTGAGAGTCCAGCTCAGATCCATCCCAAAGCCATTTGCTCTCTGATATTTCCATGGGCAATCCTCTCCTTCTCCAATTGTTTTCCTGCTCCAGCTCTGTCCTGTCCACAGCCAGGAAGGAGGCATCTCCCTGGCTTTTGTGCCAGGCACACAGGACCAGGCTCCCACATCCTCCTTGCCATCTCTCCTGTCCCTCAGCCCTCCCTGTGCTGCTCCACATGGAAGCTGTGCGTAGGAAAAGATGGGAAAAGTCACGTTTGGGGGACAGCAGTGTTGCTGTGTGTGTCTGTTTGTCACTCCTGCAGCTGTGTGAGGGCAGGAGAAGCAGCAGAGGTGTCACCATGAGCACTTTGTCCCCTGGCACGGAGGGAGCCAGCCCTGCCTGCTGGAGCCAGCCCGGTGGGAAGGCATCCCAGGGGAGCTGGAATGAGGAGAGCCACGACAACTGGAGCCAGTGTGACAGCAGGCAGTGGAGCAAAGTGCCTGTCCCACTGCTGCTGCTGCTCTGTGCCTGTGTGGGATGGTGGGAATGGGGCTGTGCTCTGGCTCCTCAGCTTCTGCATCCACAGGAACCCCATCACCCCCTGTGTGCTCAGCCTGCCCATGGCTGCCTCCACCTTCCTGCTCTCCATCACCATCAGCCTTGGGATATTTTCTGTCCCAGAGAGCTTCTGCCACCAGCTGGGCTCGTGGGCTGTGCCAGCTGGGCTGAAGGTCCCCATCCTCTTGGCTTTCACTGCTGCTGTCTCCTCTCTGACAGCCCTCAGTGCTGTCACAGCTCTGTTCGTCCTCCCGTGTCCTGCTGGCCCTGCCCCTGCTCCCAGTGCTTCCCGGTGCTCCTGTGTGCCCTGCTCTGGCTGCTCTCCTTGCTGCTCACTGCCACCCTCCATTGCTGCCCTTTGGTGCCCATGGCCTTGGTGCTGAGCTGCCCCTTCTCAGTGCTCAGCCTGCCCTGTTCTGCTCTGGCCCTGCTGGCCAGGCTCCTGTGCTGCTCATGGAAACAGCTCCCAGGGAAGCTCTGTGCCCTGCTCCTGCTGCTCCTGTCATCTCCTTCCCCTTCTTCCCTGCTGATTTTGGGCACTGGCTCTTGCTGAGGGCGTTTGACTTCTCTGTCTTTGCCCCCAGCCCCTCTCTCCATCTCACCTGTGCCCAGAGCAGTGCCCTCCCTCTGATTGACTGCCTGGCTGGGAGCTGTGCAAAGGAATTCACCCCCTCTGGTAGTGTTGCCTTGCAGAGGGCTTTTGAGGCTTTAGTGCCAGAGCCAGGGCATAGGGACAACACAGGGGAGTCATCATCAGGTGGAATCATCATGGAACAGAGTCATCACAATGTAGACTAGTAAAATATCCAGAGTGGGAAGGGAGCCACAAGCACCATGGAGTTGAGCTCCTGGCCCTGCACAGGACACCCCAACAATCCCAGCCTGTGCCTGAGAGCATTGTCCAAATGCTCCATGAGCTCTGTCAGGCTGGTGCTGTGTGCAGGAGGGGAACTCCTGCCTGGGGCTGTTACTGGTGAAACACGGAATCCTCATGGAATGGTTTGGATTGTGTCCTGGTTTTGGGTAAATTTGGGAGGAAACCTTCAAATGGGATCCCTCTAGAAAACAAATTCAAGCAGCCCCTCCCCCAGCTGGTTTAGCAAAAGATTTCCTGAGAGAAAAGTGAAAAAAACTGTTTATTTAACAAGAAAAGTATTCACAAGCATCAGAAATGAAAACTATATTAAGTAATAACATCTCTTGCTGCTCTGATGAGTTGGCAAATTCAGACAGTCCTTGTTGTGGAGTGCAGTTTGGCTCACTCAGTCCCTTATCAGTCCCTCAGTGCTGGAAAATGCCGCGTCCCAGGCCCCGGTGGGCCACAGGTGTGAGCTCCCTGTGCTCTCCTGGGTTTTCAGTCCAGAGCAGGTTTGAACACTTCCAAGCAAAAGGAAAACCACAGTCCAGGGAACTTCTCTGCCTCAGCCAGCTGAAAATAGCTAAAAGCAAAGGAGAGCTCTGTGCTGCATGTCTGTGCTGCAGACAGCACGGTCTGGGAGCAGGAATGGGGAGGAGTGAGCGCAGCTTCTGAAAACAAACTGCTGCATCTGCTCTGCCCCTCTTTGCTCAAGAACCAGTCTGAAATGTGAAAAACCTATTTCTGGGCTAAACAGATGAATGGGGGCACAATTCAGCTCATAAAGTCACCGAGGAAAGGTTGGAAGGAACAGTAGAGATCATCTCATTCCATCTCTCCTTCTGCCATGAGCAGGGACAGCCAGGAAACGTTTTGCTTTGAAGTCTTGCTCATTTGGAAGGAAGCTCAGGTAGGGAGTGGCCTGGGTGACCCAGGAGACAAGGAAGGTGCTGGGAAGTAGAAAAAGTACATGGAAGGATAATGGTCCTCCTGCACTTTCCTAGGGAGGGACTCCCTGTCTGAGTTGTTCTTCCCTGGACAAGAGGTTGTGCCATGGAAAGTTTTGACTGTCGAAGGGACAGGGAAATGGGAGTCAAGGAGAGAAAAACCCTCTTAGATGTCAAAGTCTCTTCTGTTAATTTTTAACAACTCTGTTAATAAATGCTCCTTGTATGTTCAACCTCACGTGACTCCAAAGCCTGACTCACCACCCATGGCTTTCACTCTCACTTGCCTTTCCAGAAGCAGTGGAACGTTGGTTTCCCCTGGACTTAAGGCAGTGGGAAAAGGAGGGACAACTTCCCCCTAAACAGGAGATGTGGCTGCTGCCCAGGTCTCTCCCAGCAGGAATCAGGAGCTCTTGGCACTGCCAACATCATCCCAACCACTGCAGGCATGTGCCATAGGAAGGGCTCTGGTATGAGAGAGGAACCTGCCCTGCTCCCAGAGCAGCCAGAGGCTTTAGAATGGGATAAAAGAAGGAAATGAGCCATTTTGGACACTGTTTAACAGAGACAGGCTCAGCAGTTAAACATGGATGTTGTTTATTCAACAAAGTCAGGATCTGGAATTACTACAGAAGCAAACAAAAGTATGAATGTAAATATCATGTAGGAGTAGTTAGAGAATGACAAAGATCAGGAGAGGCTGGGCTGTGGCTGGAGCTGCTGTGCAGAGTGGCTGTGCAGCTCCTCCTGAGGGGGGCCAGGTTCAGGATGGAGGTGCTCAAGGGCTTCCCTGGACACTGATGCTGGGGAACCAGAGGATGGATGGCCCCATTCTGCAGAAGAGCAGCATAACCCCCTAATCTCTGTGCAATTCAATGGTCCAAGCATCTGCTGATGCGAATTTCCATGTTTAAAGCTCTTTCTGGACACAGACACAAAGGATCAGTGGAGTTCACTATCGACACTGCACTTTACTCCGAAGAATTCAATTCTGGAATTCAAGAATGTAACAAATTCCCACTGGAAGGATAAGGGAATGTTGCTGTCCCTCCCCAGCTCTGCAGCCCTACCTGGTGTCCCTTCCCATCAGCTGAGAATGCAGGGCTGGCTCTGCTGGACAGAAGGGGAAGGATGCTCTCTGTGATCCCAACCCCTCTCCTGCCATCCAGAGGCACCAGCCCTGCAGGGATTTGGGAAATCACTGCCACTCCATGATGGGTGTGTCCCCATGGATTAAGGTGTCCCATTCTTTGCAGGCAAGAGCTCCCTGAAAACACCATGGAACTCATCTGCTGAGCCAGAGGAGATGGAGTTCATTCCCTGGGGCCAAGGCCATGAGGGTCATTGCATGGGGAATAGAGCTGGGGAACAGCACTGAGCCCAGCTGCACTGCTTGGAGCCATGTGGATTCAGGAGGGAGCAGGAAAGCCATGCTGCAATGTGCTCCCTGCAGAGCATACCACAAAAATCACCCAAGGCAATGCTCCTACTCCCTTCTCCTGCAGGAGAGCACCATGGGGAGGGTGATCCCGTGGATATTGATTAATGTGATGACCCAAGGAATCCCTCAGCCACTGTCCTGGGGTCACTCAGCAGAGCAGTGGGAAGAATCAACAGGCTCAGATGACCGTGTCCCTGCTGGCATCATTTCTGCAGTCAGTTTTTTTTTTCTGCTCTTCAAAGACCCTCTGGAGTGAGAGCCGGAGGGACCCCACCGAGCAAGGCCTCCAGCACCTCCCCACCAAGAAGTAGATGAAGGGTTTGATACTGCTGTTGATGCAGGTGAGCAGGAAAAACACCTGTGATGGCACAGCGATGTAACCGAGCTGCTGCAGGAAATTGCAGAGGCTGAGGAGGAGAATGAAGAGCGCAATGATGAGGATAACAATGTCGCGCCTCTTGGGTTGCTGCAGCTGGGAGCCCCACTTGGCCTTAATGAAATCGACTGTGCTGGAAATGACCACGGGTGCAACAAACAGGAGGAAGATGATGGTGTTCATGGAGATGAAAGCAGCCCCGCAGTGCTCCTGCTGGTGTGATGGGCACAGGAATGTCACTGCGGGAATGACAGCAAAGAGAGCAAAGAAGGCCCAGTATTGGACACTTTCTAAAACCCACCTCAGGCGCTCAGGAAGGTCACCACAGCAGCAGAGCTTGTACATATACTGCACATTGCTGCCGGCTATCAGCCATAACAGCGCCCAGTAGTAGGAGAGCACTGACATCTGGAAAAGGAAATTCAGGTAAAGCAGTGGCACGATAGGAGAGCATGATATGTCCTCCACCAGGAACAGGAGGGTGGAGGAGACGGTGAGGAGAAGGAAGAGGAAATCAGTGACAGCCAGGACAAAGAAGCCATAGTTGGGGAATTTCAGGTTAAGGAGGCCGATGACAGCCCCGTTCCCAGCCAGCCCACAGAGGCTGATGAGCAGGGTCACACTGTGTATGGCCACACTGGTGACATCTGTCTCACACAGATCATCTCCTTCAGTGGGTGAGGCAGGAGATGGGGACACGGTGGTCACCTCCATGGATGGACGCTGGGCAGGCAGTGGGATGTGGCCCCTGGCTGTGGTCAGAGTGGATGGGCAGTCAGTGCTTGGAGAATCCAGGGATGGACCATGTGGCTCCTCAGCAGCTCCCTGCAGTGGGAAGGATTCAGTGGGGAGGAGTGAGATGTGCTGGGGAGGAGGGTGGTGGAAATTGTGAGGAGGGAGAGGGAGGTGGGAGGGTTGGACTGTTCAGGCACAGGGCAGAGGAGGGGGGATCTGGGGAGGGCACTGCGGTCACTGGGAGAGGGTGTCAGGAACAGAGCAGCTGCTGCAGGAGAGGAAGGTGGGGTAGAGAGGAAGGCAAACATTCCACTGACCTGTTCCCTGTGGGGCAGCAGCAGGCAAAGGGCTCTGTGCAGATCAGCGGCGCTTCCTGGTCCCTCTTGCTCCTTTGGGATCCGTTTCCTAAAGCGGCTCCTGCCAGGTCAGGGACATGAAGGAGAAAGTGCCCAGGTCACCAGGAGCTCCTCATTTCAATCCTGCTGGCTCCTCTCTCTGCGCCCTGTCCTGGTGCTGCTCCTCAAGGCTCGGTGCGGTCATAGGGCAGACGGAAGTTTTTTTACAGCTTTGGGTATGTCAGAGCTCCACTCACTCGGAGTCATTGATCTGGATTTTTTTTTTCTTTGCCAGAAAGAAATTGGGTTTTTTCAAAAGGTCAACATGAAGAATTTTGCAAATGCCTCCTCATTTCCCTCAGGTTAGAAACACTCTATCCCTGCAGAATGTCCCTTTCTCCAACTGCCTTCCCTCATTCAACAAGTTTCTGCCATTCCTGATTTCTGTTCCCTGAGGGCTTAGTGTCCCTCTAGCTGCAGAGAGCTGCTAGTGATGCTGGTGTCACTGGAGTGCTGGCAGTATCTGCAGTGCTGGTGATGCTTCTGGGTGCTTCTCAGAAACAAATCTCATTCTGCAAAGGGTTCTGGCATCATTGCAAAAAAAAAGGCCCAAAGGAGCACAGCTGAGACAAGAATTCCCATTTCTGTCATTCCAATGAGGCTCACACAGCCCAAGGGACGGACAGCACTCAGTTGCTTGCAGCCAGGCTATCAGCACTTGGAGCCCACCCTGATTACTGCCAATCCCCCTGATAATGCAGTGAAAGCTATCAGGGACCAGGGTGCTGTGCACTCCCTGCCAGCCCTTCACCAGGGCTGCTCCTGCTCCTCCTCAGTCCTGGGAACATTTGGGGTCATTTGTGACACCTGATCCCAGACTGTCCCTATGCAAGCAGAGATAACTGCCACTATACCAGATTGCTCCAAACCCCTCCAGCCTGACCTTGGACACTTCCAGGGATCCCAGGGCAGATACAGCATCTCAGGACAACCTGTGCCAGGGCCTCAGCACCCTCACAGGGAAGGATTTCTTCCCAATATCTAATCTGATCCCACCCTCTGTCAGTGGGAAGCCATTCCCCCTTGTCCTGTCACTCCATGCCCTTGTCCTAAGTCCCTCTCCAGATGTCCTGGTGCTCCATCAGCTCCTGGATCATGAAGTGTTTGCCCTTGAAAGGACTGGGCTGGTGAGGGGATGTGAGATTCCATAGCTGGGGACACAAACACGGGTTCAGCAGGAAGAAAGGTTGCAGTTCTTGTCCCAGGGCCAGCAGTTTCCAGCAGGAGCATCCCAGATCCCTGAGGCACATGTCAGCCTGGATAGGAATCATCTCACTTCAGCTTTCTAGGAATTCCTTGAATTCACTGTAGGCTGCTGTCAGACTGCCATGGGAGTGTAGAGGATGACTCAGAGGAAACCTGCAACGTTCCAAGGATTAAAGCAACGGTGTTGTCAATGAAGAGAGATGGGGAGACTGACTTGGTGATCAGAATCCAATTTTACTGTAGGATACAAACGTTTATATACTATTTCAGGGAGACTAGTAATGTGTACTACAATTATTAGGTTAAAATCACATACAGAACCGTATGCATTTAACAACATCTCTTGCATGCAGCGTTTAATGGGATTTTCTTTTTCCGGTAAACCTGCATGATTTATTCTTTTGCAATCTAGGTCTAATTTTCAAAGTTCTGTTTGCTTTGGCCAAGGCATCCTGTTATCTAATCTCTTATGTTAGCCAGGTCCAAAGTCCATCATCTGTCTTGTGTCGCCCAACATTCCAATACTATGGGAGTAGCATTGATTTGCCTCTTCTCAGAAGAAATGACCTGGCTGAACTCCTAAATCATCCATCTGCTCTCTGCCAGTGCTCCAGCTCATGCACAGAATTTATTATTGTATGAATCCTCTTGGAAACTGTATGGTGAAGGTGAAGTACCACTGAACTTGCAGTATACAAGTGGGAAAAATAGATTTGAATCAGAAATCAAAGTTTAACAGGACATTTGTACTGCAGGGTACCAAAGATCCACCTCAAGAATGAGAGGGGGCAAGTTCAGGCTGTTCAAAAGACAAGATTTTGGGATTGAGGTTGCTATAAAATAGAATAGAAGCTGAGATGGAGCCCAAGTGCTTTGGGCACAGGTGTGGTTGCTGAGGCTCTCTCCCGATGCTCATTTCCCAGGCAGAGTGAAGAGCAGCTGAGGAGCAGAGCCCTGAGCCCGTGGCAGGCTCTGAGGCAGCTGCCTGTGTGTGAGAGCCCTGGAGAACACGAGGCAGCACGGAGAGCAGGGGCTGTGGCAGGAGCTGGGACAGAGCCCGCGCCGGACGCTGCTCGGGCTCAGCCCGCGGGCTGCGCTCCCCTTTCCCAAGGGACCATTCCAGGGAACCTCCTGCAGATCCCGGCCCAGGGACAGCAGCTGGAGCCTGGCAGCTGAGGGCAGTGCACTGCGGGCAAGTTCTCCAGGCTGCCAGAGGAAACCAGGTCAGACTCTTCTCTTCCACCTTCACCAGGGCCCCCTCATTGGGTGGAACCTGGTTATTGATTTTGGGGGCAGAATTGAGGTCTGTAGGGAATTCAAAGCTATAAATAGTGTGGGAAAATGGAGGGAATATTGTAATGAGTGTCCTGCTGAAGGAATCCAGCATCTCAGTGATATCAACTGACACCTGAGAGTCCAGCTCAGATCCATCCCAAAGCCATTTGCTCTCTGGTACCTCCATGGGCAATCCTCTCCTTCTCCAATTGTTTTCCTGCTCCAGCTGTGTCCTGTCCACAGCCAGGAAGGAGGTATCTCCCTGGCTTTTGTGCCAGACACGCCAGACCAGGCTCCCACATCCTCCTTGCCATCTGTCCTGTCCCTCACCCCTCTTTGTGCTGCTCCACATGGAAGCTGTGGGTGGGAAAAGATGGAAAAGCCACGTTTGGGGGACAGCAGCATTGCTCTGGTGTGTCTGTTTGTCACCCCTGCAGCTGTGTGAGGGCAGGAGAAGCAGCAGAGGTGTCACCATGAGCACTTTGTCCCCTGGCATGGAGGAAGCCAGCCCTGCCTGCTGGAGCCAGCCCGGTGGGAAGGCATCCCAGGGGAGCTGGAATGAGGAGAGCCACGACAACTGGAGCCAGTGTGACAGCAGGCAGTGGAGCAAAGTGCCTGTCCCACTGCTGCTGCTGCTGCTGCTGTGCCTGTGTGGGATGGTGGGAATGGGGCTGTGCTCTGGCTCCTCAGCTTCTGCATCCACAGGAACCCCATCACCCCCTGTGTGCTCAGCCTGGCCATGGCTGGCTCCACCTTCCTGCTCTCCATCACCATCAGCCTGGGGATATTTTCTGTCTCAGAGAGCTTCTGCCACCATCTGGGCTCGTGGGCTGTGACAGCTGGGCTGAAGGTCCCCATCCTCTTGGCTTTCACTGCTGCTGTCTCCTCTCTGACAGCCCTCAGTGCTGTCACAGCTCAGTTTGTCCTCCCGTGTCCTGCTGGCCCTGCCCCTGCTCCCAGTGCTTCCCGGTGCTCCTGTGTGCCCTGCTCTGGCTGCTCTCCTTGCTGCTCACTGCCACCCTCCATTGCTGCCCTTTGGTGCCCATGGCCTTGGTGCTGAGCTGCCCCTTCTCAGTGCTCAGCCTGCCCTGTTCTGCTCTGGCCCTGCTGGCCAGGCTCCTGTGCTGCTCATGGAAACAGCTGCCAGGGAAGCTCTGTGCCCTGCTCCTGCTGCTCCTGTCATCTCCTTCCCCTTCCTCACTGCTGATTTTGGGCACTGGCTCTTGCTGAGGGCGTTTGACTTCTCGGTCTTTGCCCCCAGCCCCTCTCTCCTGCTCACCTGTGCCCAGAGCAGTGCCCTCCCTCTGATTGACTGCCTGGCTGGGAGCTGTGCAAAGGAATTCACCCCCTCTGGTAGTGCTGCCTTGCAGAGGGCTTTTGAGACTTTTGTGCCAGAGCCAGGGCATAGGGACAACCCAGTGGAACCATCATCAGGTGGAATCATCATGAAACAGAGTCATCACAATATAGAACAGTAAAATATCCAGTGTTGGAAATTATCTCTACGGGTCTTGGTGTTGAGCTCCTGGCCCTGCACAGGACATGCCAATAATCCCAGCCTGTGCCTGAGAGCCTTGTCCAAATGCTCCTTGAGCTCTGTCAGGCTGGTGCTGTGTGCAGCAGGGGAACTCCTGCCTGGGACAGTTGTGGGTGCCACGAGGAATCCTCATGGAATGGTTTTGTTTGTGTCCTCTGGTTTATGGAAAATTTAGGAGGAAACCTTGAAATGGGATCCCTCTAGAAAACAAATTCAAGCAGCTCCCCTTCCCCAGCTGGTTCAGGAAAAGATTTCCTGAGAGAAAAGTTGAAAAAACTGTTTATTTAACAAGGAGATATTCACAAGCATAAGAAATGAAAACAATATGAAACAATAAAATCTCTTGCTGGTCTGAAGAGTTGGCAAATTCAGACAGTCCTTGTTGTGGAGTGTAGTTTGGCTCACTCAGTCCCTTATCAGTCCCTCTGGTGCTGGAAAATGCCGCATCCCAGGCCCCGGTGGGCCACAGGTGTGAGCTCCTGGTGCTCTCCTGGGTTTTCAGACCAGAGCAGGTTTGAACAGTTCCAAGCGAAAGGAAAACCACAGTCCAGGGAACTTCTCTGCCTCAGCCAGCTGAAAATAGCTAAAAGCAAAGGAGAGCTCTGTGCTGCATGTCTGTGCTGCAGACAGCACGGTCTGGGAGCAGGAATGGGGAGGAGTGAGCGCAGCTTCTGAAAACAAACTGCTGCATCTGCTCTGCCCCTCTTTGCTCAAGAACCAGTCTGAAATGTGAAAAACCTATTTCTGGGCTAAACAGATGAATGGGGATGCAATTCAGCTCATAAAGTCACCCAGGACAAATTGGAAGGAACGGTAGAGATAATCTCATTTCATCTCTCCTTCTTCCATGGGCAGGGACAGCCAGGAAACGTTTTGCTTTGAAGTCTTGCTCTTTTGAAAGGAAGCTCAGGTAGGGAGTGGTCTGGGTGACAGTGGAGACAAGGAACATGCTGGGAAGCAGAAAAAGTACATGGAAGGATAATGGTCCTTCTGCATTTGCCTTGGGAGGGACGCGCTGGCTGAGTTGTTTTTCCCTGAACAAGGGGTTCCACCATGGAAAGTTTTGACTTTCCAATGGACAGGAAATGGGAGTCATGGAGAGAAAAACCATCTCAAAAGTCAAAGTCTCTTCTGTTAATTATTACCAACTCTGTTAAGAAATGGTCGTTGGGTGTTTAACGTCATGTGTGTCTACAAATCCTGACTGCACACATGACTTTCATTCTCACTTCCCTTCCCAGAATCAGTGGCATGTTCGTTTTCCCTGGATTTAGGGCATTGGGAAAAGGAGGGACGACTTCCCCCTGAGCAAGAGATGTGGATGCTGCCCAGGTCTCTCCCAGGAGGAATCAGGAGCTCTTGGCACTGCCAACATCATCCCAAGCATTGCAGGCACGTGCCTTAGGAAGGGCTCTGGTAGCTCTGGTATGAGACAGGTGCCTGCCCTGCTCCCAGACCAGCCAGAGGTTTTAGAATGGGATAAAAGAAGGAAATGAGCCGTTTTGGACAGTGTTTTACCAAAGCAGGCCCTGCAGTGAAGTTTGGATGTTATTTATTCCACAAATTCTGAGCCAGGAATTACCGCTCTGGAAACAAAGATCAGGACAGGGTGGACTGTGGGTGGAGCTCCTGTGCAGAGTGGCTGTGCCGCTCCTCCTGAGGGTGGCCAGGTTCAGGATGGAGGTGCTCAAGGGCTTCCCTGGACACTGATGCTGGGGAACCAGAGGATGGATGGCCCCATTCTGCACAAGAGCAGCATAACCCCCTAATTTCTGTGCAATTTAATGGTCCAAGTATCTGGTGATGGGAATTTCCATGTTTAAAGCTCTTTTTGTTCACCTGTTCCAGGCTACAGTAGAGTTCACCCTTCATCCGGCACTTTGATATTCAGAAGGATTCAATTTTGGAATTCAAGAATGTGACAAATTCCCACTGAAAGGATAAGGGAATGTTGCTGTCCCTCCCCAGCTCTGCAGCCCTACCTGGTGTCCCTTCCCATCAGCTGGGAATGCAGGGCTGGCTGTGCAGGACAGAAGGGGAAGGATGCTTCCTGTGATCCCAACCCCTCTCCTGCCATCCAGAGGCACCAGCCCTGCAGGGATTTGGGAAACCCCCATGGCCAAGGCCATGAGGGTCATTGCATGGGGAATAGAGCTGGGGAACAGCACTGAGCCCAGCTGCACTGCTTGGAGCCATGTGGATCCAGGACGGAGGAGGAAAGCCATGATCCAGTGTGCTCCCTGCAGAGCATCCCACAAAAATCAGCCAAGGCAATGCCACTGCTCCCTTCTCCTACAGGAATACAGCACCATGGGGAGGGTGATCCCATGGATATTTATTAATGAGAAGACTCAAGGAAACCCTCAGCCTCTGGCCGAGGTCCTTCAGCAGAGCAGTGGAAGTGATCAGCAGGCTCACATCCCTGTGTCCCTGGGGCATCATTGCTGTGGTCAGTTTTTTCTTTCTGCTCCTCAAAGACCCTCTGGAGGGAATCCCTGAGAGATCGCAGTCTACAGAGCCTCCAGCAGCTCGCCATGGAGAAGGGTCTTGTGCACCACCCTGCCAAGAAGTAGACGAAGGGTTTGATGCTGCTGTTGATGCAGGTGAGCAGGAAAACCACCTGTGAGGACACATCGATGTAACCGAGCTGCTGCATAAAATGGCAGACGCTGAGGAGGAGAGTGAGGAGCACAGTGATGACGATAACGATTTCGCGCCTCTTGGGTTGCTGCTGCTGGGAGCCCGACTTGGCCTTAATGAAATCCATTGTGCTGGAAATGAGCATGGGTGCAACAAAGAAGAGGAGGATGACGGTGTATGTGGAGATGAGAGGCGCACGACAGTACTTCTCCTCGTGTGACGGGCACAGGAAAGTCACTGCAGGAATGACAGCAAAGAGAGCAAAGAAGGCACAAGATTGGACACTTCCGACCACCAACCACATGCGCTCGGGAAGGTCATAGGGGCAGCAGCGCTGGAAGAGGTTGCGCACAAAAAGCACAGGGATACTGCGTATCAGCTGAAACAGCCCCCAGTAGTAGGAGACCACTGACATCCGGAAAAGGAAACTCAGGTACAGCAGGGGCATAATATGAGAGCAGGAGACATCCTCCACCAGGAAGAGAAGGGCAGAGAGGACTGTGAAGAGAAGGAAGAGGAAATCAGTGACAGCCAAGTCAAAGATGCCAGAGTTACGGCTTTGCAGGCTGAGGAGGCCGATGACAGCCCCGTTCCCAGCCAGTCCACAGAGGCAGATGAGCAGTGTCACACTGTGGGTGGCCACTCTGGTGACATCTGTCTCACACAGATAATCTCCTTCAGTGGGTGAGGCAGGAGATGGGGACACGGAGGTCACCTCCATGGATGGACGCTGGGCAGGCAGTGGGATGTGGCCCCTGGCTGTGGTCAGAGTGGATGGGCAGTCAGTGCTTGGAGAATCCAGGGATGGACCATGTGGCTCCTCGGCAGCTCCCTGCAGTGGGAAGGATTCAGTGGGGAGGAGTGAGAAGTGCAGGGGAGGAGAGCAGTGGAAATGGTGGGGTGGGAGAGGAAGATGGGAGGAACAGAGCAGCTGCTGCAGGAGAGGAAGGTGGGGTAGTGAGGAAGGCAAACATTCCACTGACCTGTTCCCTGTGGGGCAGCAGCAGGCAAAGGGCTCTGTGCAGATCAGCGGCGCTTCCTGGTCCCTCTTGCTCCTTTGGGATCCATGTCCTAAAGCGGCTCCTGCCAGGTCAGGGACATGAAGGAGAAAGTGCCCAGGTCACCAGGAGCTCCCCATTCCCCTCCTGCTGGCTCCTCTGTCTGTGCCCTGTCCTTGTGTTGCTCCCCAGCTCTCAGTGCAGTCCCAGGGCAGTCACAAATTGCATCTTGGGCTACATCCAAATGTTGTTTCCTCCAAGACACTTATCTTGGGGTTTTTTGCAACAGAGAAATTGTTTTTTGTCAAAAGGTCCTAAATGAAATATTCTGCACATGGTTTATTTCTTCCTGATTAGGAATATTCCTTCTCAGCTAAATCTCCCATATTCTGACTGCCTTCCATCTCCTGACAGGCTTTTACCATTCCTCATATCTCATGCCTGAGCAGTCACAGCTATGATAAAATAGAACCATAAAATATCCAGAGTGGGAAGGGAGCCACAAGCACCATGGAGTTGAGCTCCTGGCCCTGCTCAGGACATCCCAACAATCCCAGCCTGTGCCTGAGAGCATTGTCCAAATTTTCCTTGAGCTCTCTCAGGCTGGTGCTGTTTGCAGCAGGGGAACTCCTGCCTGGGGTGGTTGCTGGATGACGTGAGGAATCCTCATGAAATGGTTTGGATTGGAAGGAACCTTAGCTATCATCTCATTCCATCTCTCCTTCTGCCATGGGAAGGGACACCCAGGAAAACTTCTGATTTGAAATCATTGCTCTTTTGAAAGGAAGCCCCGGGAGGGAGTGGCCTGGGTGACAGTGGAGACAAGGAAGGTGCTGGGAACTTGGAAAAATACATTGAGGATCATGATCTTGTTGCACTTGCCTTGGGAGAAGCCCCTTGGCTGAAATGTCATTCCCTGGATAAGATGATGTGGAAAGTTCCTACTCTCCACTGGGCAGAAAAAGGGGAGACAGGGAGAGAAAAATACTTTCAGATGTCAAAGTCTCTCTGTTCTCTTAATTATAATCAATTCCTTAGGAGTTAGAAATGCTTATGAGCATTATAAATGTTCCTAAGATGTTAAACCTCATGTGTGTCTCAAAGTTTCACTCCACAGAAGGCTTTCACTCTCACTTCCCTTTCCAGAAGCAGTAGCACATTGCTTTCCCCTGGATTTAAGGCAGTGGGAAAAGGAGGGAAAAATTCCCCCTGAGCAAGAGATGTGGCTGCTGCCCAGGTCTGTCCCAGCAGGAATCAGGAGCTCTTGGCACTGCCAACATCATCCCAACCACTGCAGGCACGTGCCTTAGGAAGGGCTCTGGTATGAGACAGGGACCTGCCCTGCTCCCAGAGCAGCCAGAGGCTTTAGAGTGGGATAAAAGAAGGAAATGAGCCATTTTGGACACTGTTTAACAGAGACAGGCCCTGCAATGAAGCCTGGATGTTGTTTATTCAACAAATTTTGGGTCCGATATTACCCCGATGAAGGCAAACAAAAACCATGAATCCAAATCTGATTGAGGGGTGGTTTAGAATGACAAAGATCAGGACAGGCTGGGCTGTGGCTGGAGCTGCTGTGCAGAGTGGCTGTGCAGCTCCTCCTGAGGGTGGCCAGGTTCAGGATGGAGGTGCTCAAGGGCTTCCCTGGACACTGATGCTGGGGAACCAGAGGATGGATGGCCCCATTCTGCAGAAGAGCAGCATAACCCCCTAATTTCTGTGCAATTCAATGGTCCAAGCATCTGGTGATGGGAATTTCCATATTGCATGTACTTTCTGGATACAGGCACAGGAGTTCAATGGAGTTCACCATCGACCCTGCACTTTACTCAGAAGGATTCAATTTTGGAATTCAAGAATGTGAGACATTCCCACTGAAAGGATAAGGGAATGTTGCTGTCCCTCCCCAGCTCTGCAGCCCTACCTGGTGTCCCTTCCCATCAGCTGGGAATGCAGGGCTGGCTCTGCTGGACAGAAGGGGAAGGATGCTCCCTGTGATCCCAACCCCTCTCCTGCCATCCAGAGGCACCAGCCCTGCAGGGATTTGGCAAATCACTGCCCCCCCCCCCCCCCCCCCCCCCCCCCGCGTGCTGGGTGTGTCCCCAGGGATTAAGGTGTCCCATTCTTTGCAGGCAAGAGCTCCCTGAAAACACCATGGAACTCATCTGCTGAGCCAAAGAAGATGGAGTTCATTCCCTGGGGCTGAGGCCATGAGGGTCATTGCATGGGGAATGAGCTGGGGAACGGCACTGAGCCCAGCTGCACTGCTTGGAGCCATGTGGATCCAGGAGGGAGCCTGAAAGCCATGCTGCAATGTGCTCCCTGCAGAGCATCCCACAAAAATCACCCAAGGCAATGCTCCTGCTCCCTTCTCCTGCATGAATACAGCACCATGGGGAGGGTGATCCCATGGATATTTATTAATGAGAAGACTCAAGGAAACCCTCAGCCTCTGGCTGAGGTCCTTCAGCAGAGCAGTGGAAGTGATCAGCAGGCTCACACCCCCGTCTCCCTGAGGCATCATTGCTGTGGTCAGTTTTTTCTTTCTGCTCCTCAAAGACCCTCTGGAGGGAATCCCTGAGAGATCGCAGTCTACAGAGCCTCCAGCAGCTCGCCATGGAGAAGGGTCTTGTGCACCACCCTGCCAAGAAGTAGATGAAGGGTTTGATGCTGCTGTTGATGCTGGTGAGCAGGAAAACAATGTGGGATGACACAGCAATGTACCCGAGCTGCTGCAGGAAATTGCAGAGGCTTAGGATGAGAGTGAGGAGCACAGTGAGGAAGACAGCGATGTCACTCCTCATGGGTTGCAGCCGCTGGGAGCCCCACTTGGCCTTAATGAAATCGATTGTGCTGGAAATGACCACGGGTGCAGCAAAGAAGAGCAGGATGAGGGTGAATACAGAGATGAAAGCTGCCCGGCAGCGCTCCTGTTCTTGTGATGGGCACAGGAATGTCACCGTGGGAATGACAGTGAAGAGAGTAAAGAAGCCATAGGATTTGGCACTGTTTGCCACCAACCACATGCGCTCAGGAGGGTTCCAGTGGCAGCACAACTTCCATATCTTGTACATGTACCGCACGGGGCTGTTGACCATCAGCCAGAACAGTGCCCAGTAATACGAGGACACAGACAGCTCAAAAAAAAACTGTATGTACAGCCTGGGCATGATATGAAAGCAGGACACGTCCTCCACCAGGAAGAGGAGGGCAGAGAGGACTGTGAGGAGAAGGAAGAGGAAGTCAGTGACAGCCAGGTCGAAGATTCCGTTTTTGCTGCTTTTCAGGCTGAGGAGGCCGATGACAGCCCCGTTCCCAGCCAGCCCACAGAGGCAGATGAGCAGGGTCACACTGTGTATGGCCACATTTGTCACATCTGCCTCACACAGATCTTCTCCTTCAGTGGGTGAGGCAGCAGATGGGAACACGGTGGTCACCTCCATGGATGGACGCTGGGCAGGCAGTGGGATGTGGCCCCAGGCTGTGGTCAGAGTGGATGGGCAGTCAGTGCTTAGAGAATCCAGGGATGGACCATGTGGCTCCTGAGCAGCTCCCTGCAGTGGGAAGGATTCAGTGGGGAGGAGTGAGATGTGCAGGGAAGGAGGGCACTGGGAATTGTGGGGTGGGAGAGGGAGTTGGGAGGGTTGGGCTTGTTTGGCAGGACATTGCTAAAGAAGAGACAATAAACATTTTCACCTCCCCTGAAGTTGCTTAAAGACTACCAGGGCAGAAAGATAAAAGGATATATAGGTGTAGACGCAGGATGATAAACATGGCTGGAAGCACGGGGGACAGTGATAAGGAGGCCCACAGTAATTTGGGGTAAGTTCTGTAACAAGAAGCAAGAGCACATGGCCAAAGGAAAAGTTCAAGGCAAGGTCAGCTTTAATATCAGAGCACTCAGTGAATACGAACACCAGGGACCCCTCTCAGTGAACCTCCTTGAGCATCAAAGGATGTTCAGTGGGAAGTGGGTGCTAGGAAATGAGTTCTAGTAAAATGGTTCTTCTGTACTGGACAAGAACAATTTTTTAATGTCTACGTATGGCTATAGTGGATAAAACCACTGTTGCAAAGTTTCACAATACACATACAAATAAGGAGAGATCCTTCTGCATGTCCTGCTGCCCAATACTTCACTTGGCAACACCATTAGTTGGTGTTAAGAGCTTTGGTGTCAGTCCTCATCCATGCCATGCCATGCCATGCCTCCCATCGCCTCCCATCGCCTCCCATGCCGTGCTATCCCATGCCATGCTATCCCATCCCATCCCGATGGGTTAGCAGTCCCTGGCATCTCCCTGGCTGCAGGCGTGGCCTGTTGGGCTCTGCTGCTGTCCAGTGGCAGATTTGGGATTGGTGGCACCCAGAGACCTCCTGCCCCCTCCAGCCCCTGTCTGCCTGATGCCTTGGGCTGGCTCCCTGGAACAGAGGCCAGAGCAGGTGAAGACAATAAAAGGAGGCATTGATGAAAGGCCTTCAAAAGGTTCACCTTGGGCTCTCAAAGCCTCCGAGAGGGGCTGCACCCAAAATGGGCAATGGCCATGAGTTTTTCAGATAGATATAAGTTTGGTCCTTTTACAGATCAGGGGTTAATCCTCCAATTACAGCTTCAGAAAATGAAGCCATTTAGTCCCAGTTTGCCCTCCCTCAATTCAATTTTGTCTGTACTTTTCTTGGTCTGAGGCAGTAGAGTGTCCTTGAATTTCATGCCTAGAGGGATTGTTTTGTCTGACCAAAATGTGCAGACAGTTAACTAACACTTTTACATGGAGTTTAGAGTTATGCACTAATGCAGTACAGGATATGAAAAATAGAAAGGCTAAAATCCAAAGGCATCATGCCCTCTCTGACATCCTCTAGGAATTCCCCCCAGGCTGCCTTCCCCTCCAGACAGCCCCGCTCCTCTCCTGCCCCACTCAGGAGCCCCAGCAGTGTTTCTGCTCCTCCTGGCAATTCCATGCTTCTCCAGCCCAATGAACAGCAGTGGAGCCATCCCTGTAGTGCCTCTTGTTTGTGTCCAAAGGAGGTTGGGGGGCTGGAGAGCAGGGATGGAGCTGGGGAGGGGCATCTCCAAGAGAAAGACGGCCCCAAAGCCCTACAGGGCAGGCTGGGGTGAGCAGCCCGTGGGGAGAGACTGGAGCTTCAGGCCCGGGGCTGGGAGGGATGGGAAGGACGGGAGGTGGGTGGGCTGCATGGGGAATGGGATGGGAGGGTGGTGTGTGAGGGGTGGGACATGATGGAGCTGCTGGGAAGATGTGGTGGGAAGGTGTGGGGTGTGGTGGGGCTGGAGAGAAGGTGTGGGGTGTGGTGGGGCTGGTGGCCTCAGGGAAGCCCCAGGGAGGGGGGTGATGCCCCGTGGAGCCCATGGTGACAAACACAGGTGTCACCCTGCTCCTGGAAGGGGGTGGCTGTGCTGAGGATCACGGCCTCCTCCTCTCCTTGCTGCTGCACCACCTGAGCCTGCTGAGGGAGCAGCTGAAGGCAGTGGAGAGGAAGAATTTCTGAAGGCAGAGACATCTTTGCACCTGGCTCACAAAATTAGAAATTAAAGATCTCAGGGGAGATCTTTGCTGTGACACTCACAGAGCACTTGGGATGGAGAATGCTGAGCCCCTGGGCCATCGTGTCTGTGCCAGCCCAGCTCTGGGCACTGGGGATCATGGTTGCTGCAGGGAGCACAAGCCATGGCTGTGGCCCCTCTGAAATCAAGACATTTTAAGTCTAACAGTAAAAGTGTGTTAGACTAATAACAATTTGGAGTCAAAATTGTGAACATATTGGAAATATCTTTGCCATAGACAGATTTAAAGAAACAACACTTTTCAGGCATTTTTTTGCATTATAATATCCAGGATTTTTTTATAGATACTCCCAATTTCTTACGTCATGGTATAGGTGTGTTGTTTCTTTTAATTAGTACTAAAATATGCCATCTATCTTAGTTAAATGGATAACCTGGGTTTTTTTCCAGTGAACTATATTTTAGTAAATTTGATGTACAAGCCTAGGAAATGGCTCCCTTATTGCCATTAAAATTATGTCTTGCAATTTTTTAATTACATCTTTTGGTTTGCATAGGCCTCTGATATCCTAAACGTCTCAAGATATCATTCTTATTCTATGACATCCAATTTTTTCTAATTATATGATAAATTAAAAGTACTTTATTGATTTTTTTTCTTGATCTATTGAGTAAGTTCTCTATGGGGTATGCGCTAATAAAGTCTTCTACTGACACTCAGCCAAAACAGATCTAAATCAAAACCAGCTAAAAAACCACAGTCAAATAAGCCTTGACTCATTAAGCATCTTTCATTACAGAAATTCCTAAACAATCACAGAATTCCTGGCTTACTACCTCTCTGTCCCCTCCCTCCAGCCACATTCCCGGCTGGCAGCAGCAGCCAGAGGAAGCCGGGAAGCGCTGGCAGAGGGGGCAAAGGCAGCTCAGGATTCACGGTGCTGTTTATTGATATCAGACCTCAGTGGGATGCAGGAACCAGGTGCCAGGGGGAATTCTGGGGTCACAGCTGTATTGGGAAGGATGCATTTGGGGGTAAAGTGCTCTAGGACCTGTGAGGGAGGAGCAAATCCATGCTCCAATGTGCTCTGTGCAGAGCATCCCTCCCAAATGGCCCCTGTCACTGCTTCTGCTCCCTTCTCCTGCAGGAATAGGGGTGGGAGGGTGATCCTAAGTCACTGCCCCATGGTCCTGCATGGGGGCACCTGAAGGGTTCAGCAGGCTCAGACCCCCCTGTCCATGGTGGCATCATTACTGGGGGCAGTGCTCCCTTCTGGCTCCTCAAACACCTTCTGGAGGCACTCCCTGAGGGACCCCATGGAGCAGTGCCTCCAGCACTTTGTTACTGAGATGTAGATGAAGGGGTTGATGCTGCTGTGCATGCAGGCAAACAGGAGAACAACCCGGGGGGACACAGTGGTGTAGCCAAGCTGCTGCAGGAAATTCCAGAGACTGAGGGGGAGAGTGAGGAGCACTGCCAGGAAGAAAATGATGTCAGGCCTCTTGGATTGCTGCTGCTGGGAGCTACCCTTGAAGTGAATGAAGAGGATTGTGCTGGAAATGACCATGGATGGAGCAAAGACGAGGAAGTTGAGGATGTACAGGGAGATGAGAGCCCCCTGGCAGAGCTTGTGTTCCTGTGACTGGCACAGGGAATTCACCGCAGAAATGGCAGCGATGGCAGTGATGGAAAGGGCCCAGAGCACGGCACTGACCACCACCCATGAGAGGCCCTGGGGAAGGTGGCAGAAGAGCCCAGGTGGGCAGAGCATGGACCTGCCCCTCTCGATGCTGATGCCGTCAGCTGGTACAGCCCTACGCTGTGGAACATCGGGAAGAGGAGGAAAAGGAAGCGTATGGATGCTGGGGACATGATGGAGGAGCAGGAGAAATCCTCCTGCAGGAAGACCAGAGTGGAGGGGACCATGAAGATGAGGAAGAGGAAGTTGATGATGGCCAGGTCAAGGATGTAGGCAGTGACGGGTTTCATAGTGTCCCTCTGGATGCAGAACCCGAGGATTCAGAGCACAGCCCTGTTCCCAGCCAGCCCGCAGAGGCAGATGAGCAGGCTCACACTGTGTGTGGCCACACTGGTGACATCTGTCGCACACACATCATCTCCTTCAGTGGGTGACATGGCAGGGGGGACACATGAAGCTTATCCACATGGATGGACGCTGGGCAGGCAGTGGGATGTGGCCGCTGGCTGTGGTCAGAGTGGATGGGCAGTCAAGTGCTTGGAGAATCCAGGGATGGAGCATGTGGCTCCTCAGCAGCTCCCTGCAGTGGGAAGGGTTCAGTGGGGAGGAGTGAGATGTGCAGGGGAGGAGGGCAGTGGGAATGGTGGGGTGGGGGGGTTGGGCTGGTTAGCAGGAGGTTGATAAATAACACAAAGAATAAACATTTTCAGTTCTTCTGAAGTTGTTCAAAAGCAAAGTGGCCAAAATTTAGAAAGATGTGTTTTATACAGATAATGGGATGATTGGCTCTCACAGTTAAGGGATTAATACTGTGTGAATATTAAGAGAAGACTGATTGATATATAATTATGTTATTGCAGTCAGTTGTTTAGATGTCCCCTGTTCCCCCCATAGTCCCCTTCTCTCCCCTCTGTACTGTTGCCATCAGAGAGCCTGAGTCATCTAGGACAGGTGGAAAGAAGGGCTGTACAAAAGCTTGTTGCTGGGGGGGAAGAGGTGCAGCATGAGGACACCTGACCCTCCAGTCAAGCTGCAGGAAAGCAGGCTCCAGCAATAAACACAAAGAAGGGCTGACTGACAGACTTTGGGAGGGGCCAGGTTTAGCTGATGCAACCCCCGGGGTATCAAAGGTGAAGCATCCATCTTGAAGATCAGCCAGCCACGTGGTGGGCAGCCATGAGGGAACCTCCCTGGCCTGCTTCTCCTTATTTAGTCCTTT